CTTCGTTAATTTTTCGCCGTCTATCCAATGGTGTGCTCGGTAGTACCCATTGCTTTATGAAAATTACCATTTTGCCCCAAGGGCTAATATTATAACTTTTTAAAAAAAATTCGCTTCTGCATTTTGTTTTCGTTTAAATTCCGTGACTTCATGAAAAGTCACTATAGCGTCATTGGGATGCCGTTTATCTCTAGGAACCTTATTTTCTTTGTTTTCGCTTCCGCACTCCAGATCTATTATCGGGTCAACTTTCGAGTCACTTTGACACATCCGGGTTTGTAAATGTCACCAGGCGGCCCAATTATGATTATGTTATTATTAGGAGATGACACATATCATCATCATATTAATTCAAGAAGTCTATAAATAGAGGCATGGGGGAAGGAGGAAGGAGGAAGGGATATAAAAATTGAAAATTCTAAAAATCCAGAATTCGAGAGAAAAATTCAGAGAGGCATAGATCCAGAATTCCAAAGTAAAATACAGTATTTATTTATTTATATAAAAAATATTTATTAATTGATATAAAAAGAGTTTTTATCTATAACATACATGTAACGACTCGAATCCGTGGATCCGAACCGTTACCCGTGTCCTTACCCGAACCCTAGGTCAACTAGGTCATACACTCCATTTCCTATGTTCAAGCCTGTCATAAGACTCACTCCGAAGCTCAGAATACTCAAAGATACAAGCTTACAAGGCTAGTCAACATTTCAGGTCAAAAAGGGACAGTCAGCCGGCTGATAGCCCAAGGTCGGCCGACTGACAAGGCAGGAAAAGGGACAGTCAGCTGGCTAATAGCCCAAGGTCGGCCGGCTGACAAAGCAGGATCGGTCGACGGACAAGGTAGGATCGGTCGGCCGAAACAATCCCAAAACTGAAAGCTCTCGGGACTTTCACTGTGCAAGCCATCGGTCCACTGACGATGGGGTTCGGTCGGTCGAACCTGGGGTTTCGGTCGGCTGATGGTGAGGATCAGTCGGCCGAAACATGCTATCCTGGGATTTAACCCACTGGAAGTGCATACTAAACCCACAATGAACCTATTAAGTACTGAAGTTCCGCATTCATGGCAAATACTCATCAATATACAAGAATAGATGTCACTAAATTTGCCAATGATACATTATCGTTCTCCTATTCAACACAGCAATTACATGGTTTCGATTTACATCAAAATATAGTCAAATGTCTTAATTATATTACATAGCCATGATTTACAAGAGAATGGGAAAATATACAAAAAGTATAAAATAAACTCCTAGTCATCCTCATGCTTGTGGAAGGTCGGCATCCACTACTTATTTTCCGGGTCCTGAAAAAATATTAAGTAATGGGGTGAGCGTAAAGCTCAGTAGGTGGTGCCTAAGACACACTTCTTGTAGCCCCGTAAATCCAAATAGTGAATAGATCAATAGAAATGGGGTCATACAAAGCAGGGTAAAAATACCATATCAATCCCAAGTTCAAAACAATTAAATGTCATGCCATGAATGCAATGTTATGCATGTCACTCCCCATTTTCAGGCAAATGCATCACTTCACAAACTGTTAATATAACTCGCCCTTTGGTGACTCCGCAGCGACACGAGAGAAGGTTGGCTACTGTCCCTGACCTTTGGTACCCCCGCAGCATCATTTTGGGCCCAGATAGCACAACCACGCTAGGGCAATCTCCCTAATTCCCTCTAGGCTATATTAACACACCGGCCCTTTGGTGATTCCGCGTCGACCGGGTTTTCTCAAAACCACTTTTGCAAAAACGCTTCCCCAAAATCCCCTTTTTACTTGATTCAAATCATTTTCTTCCATTCATGCCCCATGGTATGCTTGTATGTATCATACTTTCAATGCTATGGCAAGAGGGGATTTTATACAACACAAATGAGCATATTTTACTAGAATCTTAAGAAAGTTTACGCATGCTTTCAAGTATCACTTCTAGCAAGTCTACAACATAATACACATAGAAATCCAACGTTTAAATAAAGAAATTAACACATAAGCATGATTTGTAAATAACTCAATTAGCACATATGATTATAAACTCCATAAACAACATTTACATCATCTCTAAGGCAAATAACTCAAATTTAAACATGTCAATCAACAATTAATGAAGGATAACTCACAAAGGAATAAGAAAAACATGAATTATGAACCACTACCTTAAAATTGTGCAAAACCCCCAATTTTCTCTCAAATCCTAAAATTTAGAGCTCCTTCAAATGATGGCCAAAAATAGATTGGCTCCAATCGACTCGAAGCCCTCGATGCGCTCTTTAATTTGCCGCAAACGGCACTCAAAATCTCCAAATAGTGAGAGAGAGATCCATGATTGAAGTTGTAAATGAAAAAGAAAAAGTAAGATAAAGGGGAGAAAGGGAAAACTAACAGGAGGAAGAGAGAATGGAGACCAAAACAAGGTCTCATTGCCTTTTTGCGTGCTAATGGTGGGTCCCACCCTTTTTCTTTTTCTTTTTCCTTTTTCTTTTGTCTCCATTTTACACCACATACACACATATGTGCATACATTAAATCTCAACCATATGCAACACATTAAATAAATTAAATATGATGCAAATGAATCCCAACCAAAATCCCCGATTGCAACAATACCGACAGCAAGTCCCACACGGGACCGTCCGACCCAAAAACTGAAAAATGGAAAAATGATCACACTTCCATTTCAAAGAGTCCTGAACTCAATGAAATGTCCCAAACAACTCTCAGACACAACCGGCACACCCCGTAGTGTCCGGTACGCAAAATGGTAAAAGACGGAAATGCCTTTGCGGCTACAAAATTTTCGAAAAAAGAAAAATGCCGAAAATTGAAAACATCACAATACAGAAGCTCTGCCAATATTTATTTATTTATTTATACAAAAAAAAAAATTTATTGATTGATATAAAAAGAGTTTTTATCTATACTATTATTAAATGTGCAAAGAATTTCAGTATTTCAGTATTTATTTATTTATATAAAAAAATATTTATTAATTGATATGAAAAGAGTTTTTTTTTTTTTTTTTTTTAAAAAAAAAAATCTCTAAAATCCACCTAATAAAATTCAAATTAACCCATTTATCTATTTATTATTATGAATTTTTTAATAAAAGAAAATCTAATTAGACAAGAATTATTAATATAAAAAATATTTATTAACTCATATATAAAATAAAATATTTTTTCCAAAACTCTACGACAAATTAGCTTTTATTATAAGTTTCTTAATAAAATTAAATCTAATTAGACAATGATATATTTAAACAAATAAAATAATTTCTATAAAACTCTATCACAAATTACCTATTTTATTTTCAATAAAACTCTATCAAATTAGACAAAGATATATTCAAAGAGTTTTTATAAAACACTAACACAAATTACCTATTTATCTATTTATTATGAGTTTTTAATAAAAATAAATCTAATTAGACAAGTATTATTACTATAAAAAATTATTTACTAATTGATATAAAAAGAGGTTTTAAAAGGATTTCTATAAAACTCTAACATAAATTACTAATTTAGTTATTTATTTATTATGAGTTTTTTAATAAAAGAAAATCTAATTAGACATGAATTATTAATATAAAAATTATTTTTTTTAGTTGATATAAAAAATAAAATATATTTTTTAAAACTCTACCATAAATTATCTCTTATTATGAACTTTTTTAATAAAAGGTAATCTAATTAGACAAGAATTATTAATATATAAAAATATTTATTAATTCATTTAAAAAATGTTTTTAAAAGATTTCATATAAAACTCTAACACATAATACCTATTTATCTATTTATTATGAGTTTTTTTAATAAAAGAAAATATAATTAGGCAAGGATATATATATATTTAAAGAAAATAAATAATTTATATAAAATTCTACTACAAATTACCTATTTTATTTTTAATAAAACTCTATCACATTAGAAAATGATATATTTAAGAGTTTCTATAAAACTCTAACACAAATTACCTAAACTCTACCACAAATTAACTATTTTATTTTATTTAAAACTCTATCATATATAACCTGTATTTATCTATTTATTATGAGTTTATTAATAAAAGGAAATGTAATTAAACAAAGATATATTTAAAGAAAATGAAATAATTTCTATAAAACTCTACCACAAATTACCTATTTTATCTATCACATTATACAAGGATATATTTAAAGAAAATAAAATATAACCTAGGGTCTTCCGAAAAACCACAAACTACATATAATAAATTTTTATATCAATATAAATCTAATGTATGATTAGTATAATTGAATTTCTATTGTAAATTTTAAATTATACTAAAGTTCAAATTTTCTAATAAAATTCAAATCTATACTATTATATATGTATAATTTTTTAAATATTACCTAATAAAATTCAAATTACAAATTACCTAATAAAATTTAAATTACCAAAAAGAATTTATTACTTCGCAAAACTCAAATATTTCAGTATTAAAATAATAATAAATTATTAATTAATAAAAAAATTAAATATAAATATTTCAGTATTTATATAAAAATCTAAAAGAATTTATTACCTTACAAAAACTCAAACTCTACCACCAATTTCAAAATATTTCACTATTCATTTATTAATACAAAAATATATTTATTAATTAATATAAAAAGAGTTACAAAAAATATTTTTTGTTATTTTTTGTAAGGTTTATTGTTACAAGCTTCCAAATCAACGATTAAAAAAAAAAAAAAAAATGAAAACAAAATTTCTGTAAGTTACAAAACATTCACCACGTGCACATCGCACATGCCTTTTTCTAGTATCTACAAACATCTACAAGAAAAAATAAAAATGACGACGATGCACGTGTCTTTTCCTAGTATCTACAAACATCTACAATGGAAAATAAAAATGACGATGCAAGTGTCTTTTCTTAGTATCTACAAACATCTACAAGGGAAAATTAAAATGACGATGTTAAACAAAAGTCTTAATAAACATTGTACAAATATTGTGGGTATGATCATGCGCCGACTATGTGGAGTCAAACAAAAACCAAATCAACAAAAAGTCAAACGAAAGCCATATCAGCAAAAAAGTCAAAACAGAGACCATGTCAGCATTGATACTCAAAGAAAAACTCTGCATAAGCCTCAGGTCAAAAGTTAAACCTCAAGAGGCAACTCTCGAGTCTCAAAACCTCAAACATAAAGCTCAAATCTAGAAAACCTCAACCACAAGGACATTCCTCGAGTCCCAAAATCTCGAGCAACTTGTCCATTAGCCGAATTGCATTAAATACCTGTTGTATCTATTTAATGTGCCGCTAGCACACTGACATGGGGCAATAAGGTGGACTTGACACCTTAGGTGGCAAAGGTGCAATGGGAACATATATACAAAGCTTACCCATTCTGATTTAGCACATCCATAGCTGCAGCAAATGCCCCAACCCCAGGGAAAATTAGGCGTTTTGCATTTAAAATGTCATCTGGTGTTTGCACCTTCCAAAAAATAAAAATAAAACATAAATAGGAAAATAATAAAGAAGCATACACAATAAAAATAAGGAGTCATTATTTCATGTGTTTCATTACTTTTGTTCCCTTCCTTAAAAATCTTGTGATGATTTTTTTTTTCCGCAGTCACACTAATCTTGTTTTTAATTAACTCAACATATAAAACAGATATCTAATATGTCTTCTTTTTTCATCTTGAAAATACAGAAGAAGCTTCAAAGGTGCATCCAAGCACACCTAGGATATTCGGGATTGAAGAATGGTCAGTACAGAGTTGAGTTGTGGATTCACTTTTTTACAGTCGCATCATGTAAAATCGTCACTAGGATTAACACAAAAGGCCATACTCATAATACTTCTAAACAACATCAAACTACTCACCCCTCTTGCTTAATTATATGCTTACGTATAGCTAAAAGAATAACCCCTTCATGTTTCAAGCTCAATATGCAACACAACTGCTCATTTCAAAGAATTCCACATACTTAACCTAAAATGAGTGATACAATGCTCAATTTGGTTGCTGAGAAACCAAACAAAAGTAAATTAAATTAAATTTTCAATCTTACAATTCCTGATAAATAATTTAGACATTCACATACTGAAAATAAAGACAAAAAAAAAATAAGAAAAGAAAAAACTACTACATCTTTGATGTCAAAGCCAAGACGACGAATAGCATTTCTGACACTCCGAACATTACCAGCCCCGTAATCAAGAAAAGTCACCACTGCAATTAAGAAAAAATACAAACAGTAAATGTTTGATCAAATGACACATATAAAAATACAAGTAAATATTATCATATATACATATATTACGGAGGGTGTGCACCAGAATCTCCAGCTCCAGCAGAGGAGGCGCGAACTGAGAATCTTGAAGAGGATTTGAATTTGAGAGCCTTTTTATCGAACTCGAAACGCCTGAACTGTAAAGAATTGGTACCGGACGAGAAAGACGATGAAGATCCAACAGTCAGGAACTGTGCATAACTAAATGTAGGCGTCTCCATTTGCTAGGGTTACATTGGTGTCAATTACTGGCTGCTGCGCTGTTTGCGCTATTTGTTGTTGAATTAATGGGCTCTCCGTAAGACCCGACCAAACCCAAATAAAAAATGGTACAACCGTATAAGGCCCATTTTGTAGCAACCCACTATTAGAATCACGTATTGCGGGCTGTCCAACTAAATCAGTGTGGACTGACCCAAAGTTTAAACTCAGTGTCTGTGATTGAAGAATAAGATTTGTGAAATTGAAGATAAAAAAAAAAAAATATATATATATATATATATATATATACGTATGTAAACAGAAAAGTACATATTATGCATACAAAACCTTTCCAAAAAAAACATAAAACAAATGCAGAACTGAGCTTCTGAACCAGTCACGGCAGCCATCAACGTGTCCAGAACCTTGCTTGCCGTCGCTCCATCACAGCCGATTCTGGCCGTCTTTGCTCGCCGATCTTCAACTCGCCGAGCCCATCCCTTCTTATCGGCGTTCATTAGACCGTCCCTCGCCGGTCCATTCCGCCATCAGTCAAGCCATCTGCCTATTCAATCCAGCCGAGCCCTCCACCCGCCGACCTCGCCGTCTCCACCGGCCGAGCCGTCCACAGCCGCCGTTCATCCGCCGGTGCCTCGCTCTCCACCAGCCGTACCCAAACCCAAAATCCAGTAGCCGTTTCGCCGCCGTCCTCTAGGCTCTCACCGCCCATCGTCCTCACGGCCGGACCAGAGCTTTCCACAGCCCATCGCTGGTTCGCTGCTCGTGTCCGTCACCGCCGCTGTCAGTCAGCCGCGCCCGTCACGGCCGTCCGACGGGTTTCAACATCTCACGCTATGCAACGGCGAGGGGCAATTACGGAATATGAAAGGGCAATTTTGGATTTTAATGTTTTAGAATAGTTTCTTCACCGGAAATCTGATCAGAAGGGGTTAGTTGCAACATTGTAGTATATCTCGTGAAGACTTATATACACAAAATAAACAGCAGGGGTGTAATCCGCACAAAATAAAAACAAGGAGGGTGTTTTATAGACTTTACCCTTTGGTTTTTTTTTTAAATTACTAATGGGCCTCAAATTTTTGAGGCCCAAGGCGACCAAGGCTTGTCCTAATTTCAATTTTTTTTTTCCCATCCAATTTTGAGGCCCTCTAAAGTTTGAGGCTCAAGGCGGCCGCCTTGGGCCCAGGCCGGCCCTGCTCCATTTGATCTCTATCTTCACTAGGATTAACACAAAATACTTCGAAACAACATCAAACTACTCAACTGCTCATTTCAAAGAATTCCACATACTTAACCTAAAATGAGTGATACAATGCTCAATTTGGTTGATGAGAAACCACACAAAAGTAAAATAAATTAAATTTTCAGTCTTACAATTCCTGATAAATGATTAGACATTCACATACTGAAAATAAAGACAAAAACAACAAAATAAGAAAAAATTATTACATCTTTGATGTCAAAGCCAAGACGACGAATAGCATTTCTGACCCTCCGAACATTTCCAGCCCCGTAATCAAGAAGAGTCACCACTGCAATTAAGAAAAAATACAAACAGTAAATGTTTGATCAAATGACACGTATAAAAATACAAGTAAATATTATCATATATACATATATTACGGAGAGTGTGTACCAGAATCTCCGGCTCCAGCAAAGGAGGCGCGAACTGAGAATCTTGAAGAGGGCCTTCTTATCGAACTCGAAAAGCCTGAACTGTAGAGAATTGGTACCGGACGAGAAAGACGATGAAGATCCAACAGTCTGTGCATAACTAAATGTAGGCGTCTCCATTTGCTCTATCTTCCTTCCGCTAGGGTTACATTGGTGTCAATTGCTGGCTGCTGGCGCTGTTGTTGTTGAATTAATGGGCTCTGCGTAAGACCTGACCAAACCCAAATAAAAAATGGTACATAGTGCAAACTCGGTGGACGAGTCTAGAAGCGGATAGTGTCTTTGATAGTCCCATTCATGACATTAACAATAACAATAATAAAATAAGAAAGAAAGTGTTATCATGAGGTATATATATGTGCAAGTATATTGACCTAGAATTGATAATCATCCCCTTCATGCGGATATTGACGAATCTAGTGAGCTCGAAAATACAATTCAATCAATTTGCAACAGAGTCTCTTTCATGTGCGCGGCCATGAGAAGATTATATTCAAGTTTATATAACTCTCGTTACTCATAAACTTAGTATTTAACATAATAATATCTCATAAAAGAAAGAAATGTGAAGGATAAATATATAAATTAATAGAGAGATGTAAACTTCTCTAAAAGTCTCACTCATATTCATACATCATCACTCGAGTATATACATATATTAGAAATAAAAAAATATTAATACCGTGCCAACATGTCACCTGTTTGATGATTTAAAAACAAGAAAAATATTATTTTAAATAAAATTTTAAAGCAAAAATAGATTGGATGTGTTCGATTACTACAACATGAATAATGATTTTAGAACCGAATTAGATAGTTATCGAATTCAATTTATGTAAGTAGGGTGGTGGTCCGATGGACCTTACAATGTGATGTTATCATGACGTCATGTGATAGGATCCATCATTCCTCTTACATAAATTGATTTAGGTTAACTTCAGTTACACCCTCTAAGGTATGTCCTAACTTCAAGGAGACCCCCACGTTTGCAAAATTTCAATCAGACCCCCTACTTTTTCTGACACACATCAATCTCCCCCCTCAGTCAACAGTCAAAGTTGGTCAGAGATACTTTTTGCTGACGTCAGCAAAAAATGAGCTTTTAATGCCCAGATTGCCCCTAAACGGTTCTGTTTGTTTACAAACATTAACGGTTATGTTTGGCTTCAGGTTATAAAGCAATTAAAATGCCCAGATTGCCCCTCAACTCTAACGGTCATGTTTGGTTTCTATAAATAGGAAATAGGCACAATGTTTTTTTCCACTTCCTCTCTTATATTCTCCTATGTAAAGTGATGTCTCAATCAAGCGTAAATAGTCGTGAAGGTAGAGGCAAAGGCTATATACAGTATAGGAACAAGATTTGTCGCTATGGGGATTTTACTATAGTGAAGGTTACAGAGAATGACAAAAATCGCAACAAAGGAAGGCTGTATTATACTTGTGAAAATGAAACATGTAGTTTTTGGGAATGGTGTAACCCTATAGATGGTTCTGTTGGTGCTGCTACTGTTGGTCCTGCTGAGGAGTATTCACCTATAAATCAACTTTTGCTTTAGGTTGTTGCTGAATTGAGGTTACAGAGACAAGCTATAGGTTCAAGGTTACAAGTTGTTGAAACAACTATTTTGTATTTGAAGATAGTTGTATTTGCTTACTTCTTGTTATCTGTTTTTGCTATTTATTTGAAATAAAATTATGCAATGAATATTGACCTATATTGAGTACATTTACCATTGAAGCATCATCAATCTATTATCATTGCACATGCATATACAACCACAAATCACGCATTATCTATTACAGAGAAACCACAAAAAAAAAAAAACCATTGTCAACCACAAACTTACAAACATAACCGTTGTCAACCACAAGTTACAAATTTCAAACAAAGTAGGTCATAAAAAAATCCTCACTGTTGTATGGTGAATAAAACCTAAAAGAGCCTCTAATTGCTAGTTACCCTCTTTAAAACCAACTCACTGTTGTGTTTCTTTCCTTGGTACTGCTGCTTTTGCTACTCTCTCTATAATTGAATATTAGGATTAGAATACTAATGCAACAGTAAATTAATATGTATATGAAGATGCAAAGAATTTTCTATCTCTATTTTGACAAAATCTCATTACATTTTCAATCAATCTTCCCCCTTCTTTCACTCTCTTCACTGCCCTTTTATAGGCAATTACAAGTGTTGCTGGACTATCTGTTTTGGGCCTTCTTTCCAATGGGCTCGGTCCTCTTCAGTGGGTCCTCCAAGCTCGGCCCATTCCATGGTGCTCTTGTATGGGCTGTACTTCAATTGTTTGCCCCGATCCTACGTCAGCAAGCTGTAACCGGCCCATATTACTTATTGTATCCTCAACTGCCCCCATAATTACTCCCTAATAATTAAGGGGTAATTATTAGAGGCTGCTAATCATGACTTGACGGCTTGAGAAGATCGCATGGGAGAATGGACGGTTAGATTTGGGGGTCGGCGCTTCGAGATTCAAAAAGAACTCCTCGCTTTCCTGACTCCTCGGCCCTCGGGCCTACCTTGTCTTTATAAGCCTTATAGATGTTCCATCGATTCTCTTTACCGTCTTCATCTCACTTTATTGTTGCTCGAATCTTCTCCAGCAATTTCTTGCAAAAGCTCATTTTTCTAGCGACCTTGCAGTACTCTTTGACGTTCTCACTCTCTGAGGTTAGTTTCGTTTGCCTTTTTTCTTTCGGAAGACCTCTTTTTCTCCCTTAAAATCCTCATTCATTCTCACTATGACTGTAGATCTAGATGTTCTTCGCATGAGACTTCACCTTCCTGACGATATACAAATTAGAAATTGCCCTAAAGAGGTGAACGTTAGAACCGGTGCTGGCCTTCTTCCCGGTCAGGTTCTATTTTCCCACTTCCATCTTAACCTCCTTAGGTTCCCTCTGCATCCCTTCTTTTGCTATGTTTTTAATAAACTGAAACTTTCCCCTTTGCAAGTAAACCCAAATTTCCTTAGGATTTTATCTGTTATGTTGCTTCTGAATCGTGACAGAAATCTAGATCTGGACCTCGTAGATCTTCTCCTCTGTTACAAGGTTAGTAAAATCAGAACTGATGAACCGTTTTACCACTTCTACCCCATTAAGAAGAGGTCCATCTGCAAACATAAGATCAAATCTGAGAAGGGTTGGAGGAAAAATATAATTGGGATTAGGGGAGCCTGGTTTTCTCCAGCCGCAGAGGATTTCCCTATCCCGAGCGCTTTTGAAGAGTGCTCTGTCTCTTCTTATAAAAAATACAAAACCCATAAGAGTGACTGTCCTTGCGAGATCTGCATTCCTCGTTTTTGTACTTTCTTGTGCAATTCGTTAGGTATTCCTTGTGATGATTTGAGCTATG